CTACAGTGCTAGCTGTGTGCACCTGCCCGAGCCATTTGTCTTTTCCTGTTTTATAATGTTCTGTGAAAGGACTGATGTCAGAACACAGCCTAATTTTACCTTACAATAAAGTCACTATCTTATAATAAAGTGGTTCCTTATAATGCCTTTTTCTGTACTTCTAGAAAGTAGTTGGACTAGCCCAGTGTAATGTGGAAATATTAAAGATAGTTTCAACCCATTGTGAGATTTTCAGGTACATGGGGGCCTATAACTAAAACATCAGCTCCATGAATGCTGCTGTTCTCCACCCTCCAGCACCTTCCCACACGTGTGCCCAACTGGCCTCTCTTTTTACTGAACTTTGATAGCATTTATAATCATGTACAATGCTGGACATTTCTTCTGTAGCTTTTTCAGATTGCACTTGTTGGACTTTTCATGTATTTTCATTGTCTCTCCATCTGGACTTTAAGCTCCCTGAGAACAGAAGTCATGGTTTAAGTGCTTTTGTGTTCCTTGCACACTATAGGTTCAGTAGAGTCGCATTGACAATTAGCTTAGCAGCCTTAACACATGTATTTTATACTGATTTTTTATTGTTGTTGCTAAAACCTAGATTTGTTAACTCTCTTAGTGTATGATGATCAACTTGTTATAGATTGGTTGTTAGGCTACCAGCAAGCTGGCAGAAATTTAACCATAATTTCTTCTTTAATAAAAGGTTTTCTGAGCCAGGTAAACTGAAAGTATGCTAATATTTCTTACACAATAGAATATGAAAGTGTGGTAAATGACATCTTAAAAGTACTTTAAATTGTATGTCTTTGCGTTCCACACTGAAAAATAAACTACTACAACTTGACGCCCTCACCTGCCCTCAAATTGTTTAGAACTGAAAATAGTGTTTTGTTGTACATATTTACATATTGTAAGGTAAAATTAGTTTTTTTAACATCATAAAACTTTAAACATATTAGCAAGTCTTTAAAAATAAACAGTTTTTCCTCAGTGTGTTATACTATTACTAATTAAATACTTTAAAAATAAAGTTAGTATCATTTTTAATATGTTTGGTAACTTGATTTTCCTTGTGCTTTGCTTGGTCTTTTCAAGTCTTTCTTGTGGAAAGTTTGAAGTACCTCCCCACATCTTATTTGTCTTTGCAATGTTTTTGTGATAAGAAGGAATATTAATTAGATTGATTACACAGTACTTTTGTGAGAATGATGGGTGTTATCCCTGAGTTCTGAAGAGGAGACTGTTGTGCACAGGGCCGGTTCCTGGCAAGTAAGAAATCCCCTGCCTTGGCTTTTTGGAAAGTTTACTATGTGTTCAATATTGACCACTAGAGAAGCACTCGTTGTTAGGCATTTATCAAGTAATAAATGTGCTTCAAATTGCTTTTCCTTCTCTAATTTTGTTTTATCCTTATGAGTGAGTAAGGCAGATGTTATTCCTACCTATGAAGTAAGGTCCTGGGTTAATAAGAGACTAAGTATGATGATACATGCTGAAGGTTATATTGTACCCAGTGTCAAGCTGCCTTATACAACAGATCTGCAATTTTCAGCCCAGTGTTTTCTCCATTAGACCCACGGACTTGTATATATTTAATTGTACCCCAGTGTGAAGTCCTATATGAATAAAGGGAAACGAAGTTGCATCAAGCAGAGTCAGTGGTCAAAGTCCTGGTACTATTTGAAAGGGGAATGTGTATCTGAGGGGGATCATTTACAGCTCTAGAAACAAAGGAATCAACTTCCTTTGTGTCAGTGGTTATCAGCTGGGGAGCCCTCCCTTCCCCAAAGGAAACATTTGCCATGTCTAAAGACAAGTTTGGTTTGCACAACTGGGGGGACTGATGCTCCCAGCATCCAGTAGGTAGAGGCCAGCGATGCTGCTGATCGTCCCACAATGCATAGGACAGCCCCCCCCAACAACAAATTATGTAGTCCAAAATGTCAGTGTGGTGAGGTTGATAAATCCTGCTGTGCGTATTTCTGAATTACCAGAACTCCTTGCAGCCAAAACAAATTTGGGTCAGAGGTGGGTAAAGGAGGTGATTCCAGGTGCAGCTGGACTGAGATGAGCCATTTTGATGGGGTTAAGATGTAGCTGATCTCCTTTCTCTCTCTCTTAATTTGTGCCAACACTTGGCATGGCGATAGTGGAGAAAACACTTTTCTTCTTCTAAGCTACTTGGAATATGGTCCCATTCCAAGAGCTAAAGATATCAGTCCACTTCCTGTAACACTTGCAACTTCACTGTAAACCACACATTCATGCTATCAGGCTTCCAAAAAGTCTAGGCACATTCCTTTTTTTTTTTTGGCCAAGATTGTTAAGAGTCATAAACTAGCTAACTTATTTCCCAAGGTATCTTATTATCATAGTGTACCTGGGAGGATCTAAGTTTCTCACTGTTTCTATATCATATGCCATGCCTAAATTTCTTTGACTAACATCCTCTTGTTTGACTTTATTAAACCTAAAATCAGAGCAACAAATGTACTTTTAAAAAAAAATACTTTATTTTTTAGAGAATATTTTTTAGAGTAGTATCAGGTTCACAGAAAAACTGAGTGGAAAGTACAGAGAGATCTCATATATCCCCTGCCTTTATTGTCATTTGACTTTATTGTAATACTGATTTTCAAATAGCCTTTATATAAATGCAAGTGTTATTCTGTTAATGCAAAATTAGGTATTTCTTAATTTTGTTTCTCACTTAGTAAATGTAAAGCAAATGTAAGGAGCAAATTGGTCCGAGTGAGTTATGGAAGTGTTCTCTTTTTCTCTTAGTGGAAGAAAGAGAGAGGCTCATCACCTGTTTAGATTTCTTAGTGACTGTGACCACCTAGTTCAAGAGCCTTTATCTTCTTGAAATTTTTCCCATGTAGTTATATGTCATCTTTTTATTTTAGGAGGATTTTATTTCCCTTCTAGGAGTTTTTCTTATTTAGAGTTCAGGTTTTGGCTATTTACACAATATTAAGTTATTCAGCCTGACAGTTTGACTGCTTTAAAGGCTAGAATGTGTCATAGCCACCAAACCTTCCTGTAATTGAGGGTATTCTAGGACTTTAATTTGTTAGTGTGGTACTGTTTGTGCCTCATGCAGTTAGGAAGCCAGAGGGAAACTCTGATGATTGTATTCTTGTTTAGAAATTTTTTTTCCTGGGTGCAAAGTCCAGTTTGTTTCTTCAGCCACAGTATTTCTCTATCTTGCTAATAATGGCCATTGGACATACTGTAATGCTTCTGTGTTTCTTTTATGCCTCCTTTTAATCATGGGTCTCATAGGTCCCTGGGTTTTCCTTTAAATATTTAACCCATTAAAATGTAAATTAATAGTCTACACAAAGTAGATAGAGAGAGAGAGCTTGGTATTATTATTTCTTTTAAATCTCAGATAGGGTCTGCGTTCAAGTTCTCATTAACGAGTTCTGTGAACTTGGACAAATTATTCATGAGTCTATTCCTTTATCTGTTAAATGCAGATTATTCCTCCTCCTCTGCCTACCTCACAGGGTTGTTGTGAGGATCAAGTGAAATAATAACTGACTATGAGCATGCTACGTAAATTGTACAACACAATGCAAATGTAAAATGGTATGCAAATATAAGAAGGGTGAGGTTTAGTAAATTACATTGATTATGAAATGAAAGTAGGTTTCAAGAATTTATTTTCCTTCTATTGTCTGTATAGTGTAAATTACTTTTTCTTCGTCTTAATTCAGAGATGAACTTCACTGGGTTTGGTTGTAGTTTTTTGTCTTTTTATAAATAAAGTTAAAGAGTTAAATACTTCACTTGATGTAAAATGACATAATTTGACATAGGTCAGTGATTAGTGCAAAGCAAAATTATAAAAAATTAGAATTCACCAAATAGTGTTGACTGTGTCAAATAGAATATCCTCCTCCTCCTCCTCCTCCTGCTCACTGTTGATTGGTAGTCAATTCTGTAGAACCCAAAATATTTTTCTATGCTTTGTTCAAAATCTCCAGTTGGGGGCTGGCTGGTTTGCTCACTTGGGAGAGCATGATGCGGGTATCACTACAGTCACAGGTTCAGATCCCCATACCAGCCAGCTGCCAAAACCTCCAGTTGGTAGTTTGACCTACGTTCCTATTTTCAATAAAACAATTATTCTAAGTAGTTACTTTTCCTCCCAACCAGGTAGTTATACTATACGGATTCTGGGGAATAGTAGATCAAGTTAGTTTAGTCACAATTTATAAAAAGCCTTTTTACATTAATAGTGTTTTATCATGTTTGACGCAATTCATAAATAGATCCAGAAAACTGTAGGACTCTGGGACTCGGGTTTCAAATGATTGGTAGAACTGTTGGAACGGAATAGGCAGACTGCGTTGGAAATTATTCCATCTGAGAAGTATCTTAGCCCCTGCCTCCTTGGCCTTTGTGACTAATGAAAAAATATTCTTTTAAAATTCAAAAGCCTGTTCATTACTGCCTTTCTCCTCTGAAATGCATTACCAGTTTTATAATCAGGAAGAACTTAATTATTTTTCTTTTACTATTGGCTTATGCTTGTTCTTCATGAAATGACTTTTTCTTCCATTTAACTGGCTCAGAAATGAGCTCCTATATTGAATTTTGCACACTTTGGTTTTTTTATAGTGTAAATCAGCTCAGCTGGCTAAATGCCTCACTGAAACTTCATAATATAGCTGGAACTAAATTGTGCTCTGGAGCATTGAGTCTTTAAACTGGATTATTGATTTATAAACACATAATGGTGAAGATGCAATAGAGACAAGAAGCTCCCTCTTTTGATCTTTGAGCAAGTGTTCCCTCACTTGTTTAAGGGGCTCTGAGCTCACGAGCAAAATCCTAACCAAGTTTATCTTGCTAGGACAACGCATTTTAAGTGCTCAATAAAGAAAGAATAATTCTTCTCCCGCTTAACCACTAAAGAACAACATATGTTTCTAACGTCAGCTTTTTATTTTTTTTTTTTATCTTTCATTTTTTGTTGGTAAATCTCCCAGACAACAGCAGTTCTGTAGAGAGTTTAAATATGAAGGAATGGCAGGACGGGCTAAGGGCACTTCTACCCAACATTAACATCAACTTTGGTGGACTGCCCAATTCTTCTTCCCCCTCCAACGCCAACCACAGTGCACCAACGTCCAACACTGCCACCACCGACAGCCTGAGTTGGGACAGCCCTGGCAGCTGGACAGACCCAGCCATCATCACAGGTAACTTTCTCACTCCCTTCAGCTGCACTGACTACCATCAATTTGGTTTTTAGCACAAATTAAACACAGAAGTCTCTTCAACATAAGTTTTTTTTTTTTTTTTTCCCACAAAGCTACAAGTGTGGATGGCTTATTCCTTTCTCAAGGTCATGTGGTCTCAGTTAACCTGTCGGCATAGCCGTGCAAGAAGGCATTGGTGCTTAGGTTGCTTCTTTTGGTCTAAGTAGGTGTTACCGTCTGGCAGCATGTGTGTATTTTGTAAGGCCTCAAAGTGCAAAAGGATCTGATTTATCCTTCTTAAAAGAAACATACTCCACTTTTTAATAAAGCTCTCTATTATAAGGCTCTCTGTGTACCTGTCCCTGTTAGAGAAGGAGAAGCACAATTGGGAAATACCGTCACACAATTCTGGGGAATCGTTATTGCAGCTCCACCTCTGTGACAGTGGGGGACAAAGTCTCTGTAGTTGAAGAGGAGGCATGGGTTTGTTTGACAATAAATCTTGGTTATTTTTAGAGGAGGATGAAAGGAACATAAGATTTAAAAGGTCTTATTTGGAAGGAGGTTGAGATCATAATTTCTTCTGTGTTTCTTTTTGGATAAACTAATCACTTTTGTTTTTTAAATTTGTTTGGCGAAGTTCTTATTCTTTCTGCACAAACTTACCAACTGCTCTCTTGTTTTCTTTTCTCTCCTTAGGTATTCCAGCAACTTCAGGAAACAGTTTAGACTCTCTTCAAGATGACAATCCTCCACACTGGCTAAAATCCCTTCAGGCCCTCACAGAGATGGACGGCCCCAGTGCTGCTCCATCACAAACCCACCACAGCGCCCCCTTCAGCACACAGATCCCTCTGCACAGAGCCAGTTGGAATCCCTACCCTCCTCCTTCAAACCCTTCCAACTTCCATTCCCCACCCCCAGGCTTTCAGACAGCCTTCAGACCCCCCAGCAAAACCCCTACAGATTTACTACAGAGTTCAACACTGGACCGCCACTAGGCAAAGAGGAGAAGCCAGTAGCAAACGCAGGATTTGTCCCACCCTGTTTTCTCCCTCTCAGCCCACCCACTGCTCCCTTCTCATCTCTTATGTTCTGAAGAATTCAGTTCCTGATCAATTTTTTTTTCTCCCTGCCCCCAGATGCAATGTGATCACAGGGTCATTGCCATCTTTTCTTTTAAATTGTAAAAGTTTCTGTTGATCCAGCATTTGAGTGACATTGTTGAATGTTTCTAAAAATGCCTTTATAAGGAGAGGGAAAAAAAAGAAATCGAAGGGCAGTCTCGATACTTAGAAAATTACTGTTTGTTGCGCATAATAATGACATAATCTGCTTAGCAGAAAATGGCGATTAATCTCTAGGAAAGTTCAAGGAAATGCATTATCAACTGCAGAATTTAGAAAACCAGGTTAATTTAAATGAGATTGCTAAATGCATGCGGGAAAGCAGTGGTCCTGGCATCCATCTTGTATTCAGCTTATCACTATTGCAGGGAAATGCTTTTAATTTAATTTAATTTCTTAATTCTTTTGGTGAGTTGATGGGGAGGACTTGATTGTGTCATTAAGCAAAAGAATTTATTGGAAGTTGATAGAAAGACAAATTGATCTGTAATAGTAACTGGCCTATTGCTAAAGAGTTTATAAGGAGGGGGGAAGGAGATTTTTTTTAAAAGGAGAAAAAATTTTTGGCTGTAGATTTAAAGTAAATTCAAATGTCCTAAAGAACTGTAATAGTAACTGGCCTATTGCTAAAGAGTTTATAAGGAGGGGGGAAGGAGATTTTTTTTTAAAAGGAGAAAAAATTTTTGGCTGTAGATTTAAAGTAAATTCAAATGTCCTAAAGAGTGATTTCTGTGTTAATCTTTTTTTTCTTTAGAGTTTTGCCTACTACGTATATATATCCCTGAATAATATGTTACTTAGTTTTGGGCTGGCTGGTTAGCTCAGTTGGTTAGAGCACAGCCTTGTACCACCAAGGTCTCGGGTTCCAATTGCTTTACCAGCCAGCTGCAAAAGAATAATGTATTGGAAAAAGTATTCACAGATTTAATACTTATAAGAGCTGAAATATAAGTGATTTCTTCAGTCTTTCTCCTCTGTCAGAATCTTTTTTTCTTTTCCCTTAAATTCACCTAACTAGGGCACTCTAAGATAGCACCGCTCTGGGGCCATCTGATCACCATCAGGAGCAAATCTCTGACCTCCTTGCCTGCAGCTTTTACTTAACCCTGTAGTTTCTGGACATTTTTGCAGTATTGAAAAGACAGGAGAAAAGAAGACAAACACCTGGTTATAACCTGAAGTTAAAACTAAAAACAAGGAAATGTACCTCTTTCTTCAGAATTAAAACTAAAATCTTAAATAAAACAAAACTTGATGATGACCTTTGGGTTGTTCTTGTTTTTATTTTTCCTTTTATTTTTTGCATGTAGTTTGAAACATTTTGTGTCAAGTAGCATTCAGATATTTTCATTTAGTTTTACATCTTCAACAGTAGGGAGGATGGTTTAGAAGAAGAAATTAGACAGGGAAAAAAACCCCATTTTATTGTCAGTCACTGCTACCTTTGAAGATCAGGCGATCTTGTCCTCCGGAGTTCCTCTTCCATTGGCTTTTAGTTTAAGATATCTTTTTCTGCTATTGTGTTATGGGGGCCAAACCTTCCTAACTGTGAAGCTTCATGTGGCAGGAATGGATGGGTTATTAACATGCTGAGATGTTCATTCTCTTGGGGAGACCTGGCAGGAGCAGAGGCCAAAATGCCACACAAGTAGCACCACCTTGTGAGTGCCATGATGGGGAAGAGATTAGGAAACTGATGTAGGTGACCCACAGATACATCTTTTGTGACTGACCATTTTAAGGAATTCCTAATGGTGGAGAGATGACCAAACTACTGACCAAAAGAAGGCAGAGGATAGAAATTAATTACTCCCTACCAGAATCCTAGGAATATGCATGGTTTGTATGTCTTGCCTTGGACTGCATTCAGAAGTCCGAAGCTGGAGTTAGCATATTTTCAGCCATGTCCATTAAGGGAATCTTTACGGGATTAATTAAGTAAATCTAAATCACACATTCTGTGCTTTCAGATTGATTTTCTTATCCTTATTTTTACGTTGTATTTCAATTTGTTTTTAAAAAATATTTCAACAGTTTTTGAGAAACTTAAATAGGATATTCTCAAATAAATGTCACCACAAATAGATGTTGACCATGTGGAAAGTAAATTGTTTTGTAAAATTAACCAAAATGTTACAGTGATAAGAGAGGCCAGGACTAGAAACTACAGGCTCTTTGTCCTGTGAATTTCACTTCAGTCTCCTCAGCCCTCACATTGCACTGCACAGTGATAGACCAACACACAAATAATACTCAGGTAACAGTAAATTATAATCAAGGCTTTTTTTTGACCAAGGGGTCAAAAAGCTTTTTTTTGAACCAAGGGGTGGGGGCAGAATCCTGAGATGGGCATACCAACAAAAATTGCTTTTTCTGTAAAAGGGAAACTCTACCTTGCAAGGCTGTGCTGTGATTGTGTGTGTGTTTAATGAATCATACATACAGAAGACTTTATAAAAAGTGTGACTTTATACAAAGTATAAAGAATAAAAATAATAATGACCTGTAGGCCAAGGTTAAAAGTAGAACCTGCAGTATCTTAAAAGCCCTCTATGTGCCCCTCTCTTATACTTCCTTTTCTTTCCTCATCATTCACAAATAACCATTATCTTGATTTCTGTGTTAATCTTTTTTTTCTTTAGAGTTTTGCCTACTACGTATATATATCCCTGAATAATATGTTACTTAGTTTTGGGCTGGCTGGTTAGCTCAGTTGGTTAGAGCACAGCCTTGTACCACCAAGGTCTCGGGTTCCAATTGCTTTACCAGCCAGCTGCAAAAGAATAATGTATTGTTGGGGCTGGCCTGTGGCTCACTCGGGAGAGGGCGGGGCTGATAACACCAAGGCCACAGGGTCGGATCCCATATAGGGATGGCTGGTTGGCTCACTTGGGAGAGTGTGGTGCTGACAACACCAAGTCAAGGGTTAAGATCCCCTTACTGGTCATCTTTAAAAAAAAGAATAATATATTGTTTAGTTTTTAAAAGCTGAGTAATAAATCAAAGTGTAGCTGTGTAGGGAAAGGACAATATTGTCACTATTAGATAAAGTCTTTTAGGAGAAGATAAACTAAACAGTCTCTGGGTCATAGTTTGGCTTTAGCTTGTCTGATAATATCTAGAAGCCCTCTTCTGGGGAAGACAGTGGCCAAAGTCATGAGTGAGTGAGTACTGGAAAACAGGACTTAACAGTTGAGGTATTCGACAGGTATGTCATGTGAGCCCAGTCCTGGATGTCTGGCCGAAATATGGCCTGAAAGAGCGATCTGCTTGCTCTGTTTTTCTAGGTTGAAGCATACCACAGCTTCTTTCCAGTCCTCTGTAGTAGATCAAAGCATAACACTTGGGGGCGAGGGGTGGGGTTTAAAATAATTATCAGCTGATCAATTCACCAGGGCATGGAGGGGAGAACAGAGACTTAGCTTGGTCAAAATCAGATAAGTACAGAAAAGAACCTGGACCAAACCGACTGAGCAGCCTGTTGGTGTAATAGCAGTGGGAACTGTGATACTGACAGCTCTCAATGTGTGTCTAGGGTCACAATGCTCAGATCTGGTGCATAACAATCATTCCTAGTATTCCCTCATCTTTCTTGGATCTGGATCTTTTTCCTATATTCCTATATCTCATACCCTAGTCTTTTTTTTAAATCTGTCAGTTTGCTGAAGTAATATCCTCCAGTAATCTCTTAAGGAAAGTTATGCAGGAGATAAATATTTTAGTAATTTGCATGTCTGAAAATAATATGTATTGCATTGTCTCAGTTGATAGTTTCGTGGAAACAGGCTTCTAAGTTGTAGATATTCTTCCTTCAGAATTTTGAAGTCATTACTTTATTATATTTTTTTTTTTTTTTTTTTTTTTTTTTTGGTGGCTGGCTGGTAAGGGCATCTGAACCCTTGACCTTGGTGTTATCAACACTATTATATTCTTGTTTCCAGTATTGCTGCTGAAAAATCCAAAACTGCTTACTCTTTATATGTAATCTGTTTTTCTCCCTCTCTGGAAGCTTGTAGCAAGTTTGTCTTCTGTGCTCTGAAATTTCACAATGACGTTCCTTCATGTGGGCCTATTTTAGTTCATTGTGCTAGGCGGAGTGGACAAGTAGTAGCAGGCTTTTAAAATCTGGCAACTCATGTTATTCAGTCTGGGAAATTTTCTTATTATTGAATTTCTTGCACACACTTTCTCTGTTCTCTCTTTCTAAAAATGCCATTATTCAAATATTGAACTTTCTGGAATTTTCTTCTGCTTTCTTATCTTTTTACCAATTTCCCATCTGTATCTTTCGCTCTTCTTTCTAGGAAGTTTCCCCTTAATTTTATTATTTATTGTTTTCTTCTCCTTGTGTTGTTTATGTTTCTATAAGTTGATTTTACCTGTTTGCTTTGATCTCCTCTTCTATTTTAGAGACTTCTCAGATGCTCGGTAATCCTTGGTTATCTGCTTATGAATAAGACTGAAAAATTGATTGGAAGCTTTGGAGACATGAGTAGAGCTTGCCAACTTTGAACTCCCCTATTGGAAGATCTGGATGGTCTCTCTACTGGGGAACCGCTGTTGTCAATGTCTTTAGGCTTTGTGTCTAGGCTGGTAAGATTCCATAAAGAAGTCTTACGATGGCTGGCCTAGAGGGTAAGGGTCTGAGTACTAGCTTTTCAGAGCGGTGTTGGTGGTCTCTGTATTTACTACACCGTACATATATTATGTCATCCCTCTGTTTTCAGTCCTTTCCTCTCTAGAGATTGTCTCCAAATATCTGTCCATTTAGCAGAAGTATAGTTGCACTATGGTTTGGAGTCGGGAAATGAATCTAGGGAGCTAACTTTTTTTTTTTTTTTTAAAGATGACCGGTAAGGGGATCGTAACTCTTAACTTGGTGTTGTCAGCACCACACTCTCACAACTGAGCTAACCGGCCATCCCTATATAGGGATCTGAACCCGTGGCCTTGGTGTTATCAGCACCACACTCTCCCGAGTGAGCCACGGGCCAGCCCTGGGAGCTAACTTCTTAAAACGACTCTCTTAGTAATTTTTATTTTAGCTCCCTCCTCCCTCCACATGCTTTATTTCTAGTTTTAGGGGCACCTGGTACCGTCAGTTTCTGTGCCCTTGAGGATTTTGTGATTGTAAATTGGGCTGGATCTCAGCTTTCCCCACTCTTAGCTTGAGGTTGGACCTTTTTAAATCAGCTATGTTGAGTCTACTCAACCATCTACAGTCATGCATTGCATAATGACAGGGATATGCTCTGAAAAATGCATCATTAGGTGATTTCATCGTGTGAACATCATAGTGTACTCATACAAACCTAGATGGTATAGCCTACCACACACCTAGGCTTATGTGGTTCCTAGGCTACAAACCTGTACAGCATGCTACTGTACACAATATGTAGGCAGTTATAACACAGTGGTAAATATGTATCTAAACAAAAAAAGTACAGTAAAAGAGAAAAGAAAAAGTACAGTAAAAATATGGCATTATAATCTTAGGGGATCACCATCATATATGTGGTCTGTCATTGACCAAAACATCCTTATGTGGTACATGACTATACTTTCTAGGTCCCTACACTTTGTTGCTGTTGTCTACT